ATGCATAGCAAATAAATCATTTAAAAGGCAAATAAAAAGACGAGTTAGACACAGGCTCCTCAGAAAGCGACTAGCCTCTGGCTTTCAAATCTCCCTGTCTGTGCCGATAAATAAATACTCACTTTTCTCTCCCTAAGATGAACCTGCCCTGCCCTGCTGACTGGACGAGACACTGCATGCCCTGGCACCCCGCTTCTGGCACTCCGCTCTGTGGGCTGGACCTCTGCAGGTGGATCGTTGGTGGCTTGGTGCTGCACACCTGAGCCATGGTAAACTCCGCTGTGATGTGCTGTTTTTCACTGAAATGGGTTTCACCCAAATTTATCTGTGCATCTTCTGCTATTTTCACTTTCTGTAGTTTCATGCCATGTTTATGTATGTGCGCCAGACACACACATATGGGGACTGAACTTCTGAGGTCCCGCCCTGTGCATGACTCACGTGACCGTTAATGTGATACGTGCAGTGCGTCCTGCCTTGAGTTCGCCTTGGTTGGCTCTTAACAGTGATCCCGGGGACACCTTTGACACGATGCTGCCCATGCTTAGCACAGTGCCTGGCCCATCACTACATGCTGGCGACAAGCAAGGACACTGGAAACTCGGGGGACAGTAAAACCCCATTTGTTTTGGTTCCTGGGGGGATACACCTACCAGCTCCTCCCATTCCCCTCAAATGGTAAACTTTCCCATAGGGAATTGATAATCCTCTCCCCATGCCCAAGTATTTCAAAAGAAATTCCAGAATGTTACTCCCACCCCCGAGGGCCCCGCTCCAACTCCACATCTCAGCCTTGAGCTCTGGGGGCTGAGCACAGCTGGGGAGGGGAGTGGACTCCACCCTGGCTGGGGCCAGGGAGGGACGCTGATGAGCCTGGCCTGGCCCAGACTTCCAGCCGGTTCCCCTCTGCCTCTCACCACACGTCTCCCGGACGCCAGCCAGGCAGGCGCAGCGGGGAGCAGGGAATGCTCCTGCCCAAGCTCAGGAGCCCCCATCACAGAGGAAGCAGCTGCCCAACCCAAGGGGACCTCGTGGGCAGAGGTGTGACTCGGTGCCGCGAGAGAACGAGCCTGGCAAGAGAGAGGAGGGACGAGAAAGGAGTGTAAAGGAATTTTCTAAGTGACAGCAAAGCGTGAGAGTCCGTCGGACCCCGAGGCCCTGCAGAGGGTGTCTGGAAGTGCTGGGCGTCACCCACGTCGGACGTGACAGGAGGGGACAGAAGGGTCGGGGCCTGTGCTGGAGAGGCCCCTGGGGGCAGCCCAGCCGGAGAGCTTCATGCCGGCCCTCGGCCCTGGTGGCCTTTCCAGACGTGGCACCACAGAGGCAGAAGGGCACCCTTGCCAGCCTGGGAAGCAGGTCTGGGCCCCGGGGCCGAGGCCTCCGAGGCCGCTGCTCAGCCTCCAGCTCAGCTGCCTCCTGGCTGGTCGCGGCCAGGCTGCTGTAGACAGGCCTCGTCTCAGTGCTGTGCGAACGACTGAGCCCCCTGCGTGGGGCTCAGTGACTTTGGAGGAGGCCTCGCGTTATTACAGGGCTGGCTGTGTGAGCGGTACCCAGCCCCAGGGAAAGTGACCGGTTACCTGACGCTGGACCAGAGCCCAGTGGACAGACATGCCCAAGACTCTGCCCTGGCCCAGGACGTGGCGGGGCCTGAGGGGCGTAGGCGTCTCACAAGGGCTCTCTCTGCCCTGCAGGCCTCCAGCTCTCTGGCCGTCGGGGGCTCCAGCACCCTGCTCATCACTTGTTTGAATTATTTTAGCATTTGAAAGTTTGCCTGGGTGAAGGAATAATCCAGAGTTCTGTATGTGCAGAAATGATTTGATGGAACGAAGCGGGAGAGCAGTACAGCGAGGCAGAAAGACTTGGGGCGCACACGGACCAGCCACTGTTAGTACCGTGCGCTCCACGTCCCCCCCGCCCCCGCACTGGCTTCCAGACCCGAGGGCCTCGCGTCCCTGGTCGGAGCCGCCTCATTCTCTGCAGCTCCTCGGGCTTCACCTGACTCTTCTCCAGTTACGCTGACAGGAACGGGAGCGCTCGGTGTGTCCCGGGTGTGTCCCGGGTGTGTACGGACTGTACGGGGTGTGGGTACGTGTACCAGGTGTGCCCTGTGTGCCAAGCGCGTCCTGGATGTGTGGCGGGCGTGCGCATTTCCGGTGCGTAACCGGGGTGTGTTTCAGGTCTGCTGCGCGTGCTGAATGTCTGTGCCAGGTCTGCAGGGTGTTACAGGTGTGTGTGTGTGTGTGTGTGCGCGCGTGCCGGGTGCTGTGGGACACTACCTCACGTCATCCCTGACTGGAATCTGCGCAACGGCCCGAGCCCCGCCGCCTGCAGGGGGCGCCTCTGGCCCGCAGCGGTGGAGCAGAGTCCCGCCCCGGGGCGCCAGGCGGAGTCCTTAGCGGCGAGGTGCTGCCTGCTCCCCCATCCCTCCCACCCCCAGTGTGCTTACCAGGGTCTACTTCCCAGGACTGTCGTCAGTCCTCCACTAAAGACACCGAACCCCTCAACTTAGTTCTCAAGCTCATTTCACAAAGAAAAACTCCTTATGGACCATCCAGAAAGCTGTCCCTTTCCAGCACAATGACACCTATTTTCACTCCCAGCAAGAGCACCCCAGACCGCAACCCTGTCTCTCCGCACAGCCTCGCCTGCCCACGTCTCCCATGACGGCACACGCAGGCTGGTGTCATGGGTGGCAAAGTGCGGTCGTGGCGACCAGCAGCCTGGGATACCGGCAAAGCGAGAAGGGGTCCTGGTCGGGACGGACCCTGGGCTGTGTTTTCTCAGTGGGAGCTTCAGCAAGGAAGGGCATTCACACAAGCGCATGCTCCCTTGAGCGGGGTTGATACACAATTTGGGTAAGGGGAATTTTACCCCTAGTCCATCAGGGTTCTTTAAGGAACACGCCAACGGAGGGGGAGGGAACGAACCCTGTGCACTGTCACAAAGTGTTTTGCGGTCAGCTCATGGCATTTTAAAACACTGGAGGGAAGGGCAGTTTTCTCAAGGCAGGAAGGGGGCCCCGAGCCAGGAAATGGAGGTTCAAGACCAGCTGACAGGAATGAATGAGCAGGAAGGGCAGGGATCTGGACGTGGCGGGGGGTGTCCAGTCAGCCCTCCAGGTTTGCCAGGACACCATCCCGTCTACCTGCAGGACCGAGCAAGACATCGGAACTTTGGGAGGAAGCATGCAGGTAGCAGAAGCGTTGTGTATGAAAGTGTGAACTACTGTTCCGAAACTCCATCGACTAAGATCGAAATCACAACCCACGATGGATCCCGGGAATCCCTGTGGATTGTTCCCCTGAAAACACGGAAACCTCTATGCTTCTGCGGCTTGAAAGTGTCAGGATGGGGGCTCTCCCTGGTGGAGCATTATGAAGCTCTCTGCAGCCAGTGCAGCACGAGTCCTCCCCGCCCCGGAGGTGACCCACATGGCGCGGCGGACCTCTCCTGACCCGCCCGCCCTCCGCAGTGTATTTCAGTCGATCCGCCTGTTCTGCTCCCCACTCTCTCTAGTGAATCTTCTCACCTCCCACACCTCTGGCCTGTACCCCAGTTCTGCAAGCACAAATAAATAAATCTTTAAAAAAAAGTGTCAGGATGGGCCTCAGTTGACCCCGGAGCTGAGGTTGCCAGGTAGATTATCAGAAATCAAAAAGGGCCACCACATGTCCCTGTAGAAACCCTGCTGGGACCTGCACCCCAGACCAGCAGAGCCCTAGTCTTCACCCCGGAGAGGCCATGGACCCTGGCGCTGCCCAGAAAGAGCCAGACAGAGGGACCCGGGGCAGAGGTAGCAGCAGCATTAGCGGCCGCCATCAGCGCTCTGCTAGACGGGGGCTTTTCCGGGAGCCCCAACAGCTGTGAGTCGCCTCATCCCTGCACCTCAGGGCCGATGCTGTTCTCTGACCCCACGGTAGGGAGGAGGGAGCCAAGATGGAGCAGTAAGCAGTTCATCGCAGGCACGGGCTTAGCACGTGTGCCCAGACCAGGGTGCCAGGCTCCAGGCCCCACAGCACGGGCTGCCCCGGCACAGGGCCTGTGCGCCACGCGGGGCAAAGACTAAGTGATCAGTCCAGGTTGACGGAGCCAGGCCCGAGAGGGAAAACACGGCCCCTACCAAGCGGCAGATTATTAGCCTTAGGACAAAATAAGGGTCAGGGCGGCACGAGGAAAGGACCGGTCCGGCAGGAAGGCATGCGTCGCAACACTTCATTATCCTTAAGGTGGAGGGAGGCTCCAACCCTTCAGGACTCAGGAAGAGGGTGGCCTTCCATGGTGTCTCTGGGGGCGCCAGGTTCGCTCTGAGGGGCTCTTTCCTTTCAGGCATGAGCTAAGAGCACCTCCAGACCTGCTCTCCAGGCCCACCCGGGCCGCTGCCAGGTGACTTCAAGGGCTGAACCGGCCGGTGGCCCAAGTCCCGTGCTGGGTCGATGGTGGCCCCATTATGGCGCCAAATTTTACAGCTGAGGCCTTGGGGCACCCTCTTTCCCTCCCCAGAGACCCCCCTCTGTCCTAGAGAAAGCACGGAGACGGAACGGCGAGTTTGGGTGTCTCTGGGAGGAGTCAAGAGCGGAACTGAAGACCCACAAGTCTCCTGCCTCTTTTCTTCCACTTGGGGCTTCCTGGGCCCCCAGATGCCCACCTCAAACCCTTCTGAGAAGTTGGCCAGGGCAGGGCCCGCTGGTCGTGCATGGAGGGACCTGAAGGCGAAGGAATTCTGCTTCAGCTGCCCACTGTTGTGACAGTCCACTTGGGAAGGAGCCCAGGGGGGCCTTGTCCCGGGGACGAGAGGGCTTGTAAAGGAAAAAGATTTGGCAACACTAGGCTGCGTGAAGGGGTGTTGGCAGGGAACGAAGGCGCTGCCTCTGAACCATGGGGAGGTGTTCGTTGGAAGCTGGACAGGGGCCCGCACCGAGGAAGTCCGCCCGGAGGAGCCCCTGCTCCCTCCCAGCCCCCCACAACATTCAGGCCGGCGGAGGGCCTCTGCGTTTACTCACCTACGCAGTTATCACAAAGGCTGCAGTGAGAGGTGCGAGGAGGCCGGAAAATCTTGCAGGTGAAACAATATTTAAGTTTCACGGTCTGGCCATTGATGATGACTTCTTTGGTTCTGGGAGGTGGGCGGTACCCCCCTGAACTGGTGCCGTTAGCGATGTCTGGAGGAAAAGGACAAGAACATGTCAAGACCCTTGCTCAGCAGCCCTCCGGCGTGAGCTCCACAGGCTGTGGCCATGGGCTTGGCTTAGGTGGCCTGGAGGATGCAGGTCCCAGCGCGCTGCCCGCTCTGGACTCAGGGCCCCTGACCCTAGGCCCACAGTGGGGAGTCACACAGGTGCCGTGGCCTACGTGGGTGGAGCACACGTGGCCGGCCCATGAGGGGGAGAAGCCCCACGGCCCCACCCACCTTCTCCTTTCCAGTCCTTGAAGTCACCTTGGGGCTGCCAATCAGGTTTGACTGACAGCGCAGAGGAGGCGGCCCTCTGACCTTTTCACTGGCCCAAGTGCTTATGGGATGTCTACTTCCTAAGGCGGGGATCTGCTGACCTCCTGGGGCTCCCCCACGAATGCAGTGGGGACCCGTCTTACCCCGTGTCCTCCCAGTCCAGTTCAGAACCTCCCCACTTGCACACTGGCCTCCTAAAAGATACCAAAAAGGCCTTGGATGGGGCAGGGGGATACATGTAGGCAATATATATCACACATGTCTATGTTTAAACTCATGGAATGCACATTTAAGAAATAAGTTGTTTGTTTATTGTCTGACAGCATCTTTCACTTTTTAGAACCAGTCCAAAAATGTTGAAGAAACTGGCCCTCCCTGGTGGCGCAGCGGGTTAAAGCAC